ATTTTGCATTAAGAAAGTGGTTTGGCAGAAGCACATAAAGTGTAATAACACACACACACACACACACACACAGGCTTGTAAAGGACTCCCTGCTACTTTTTATTCGACTTGTAAAACGGTGTTACAAGTACAGAGATTTAAAAAGCTTGGCCTATGTGTGCTACATTCAGGCCCATCTGGCAGCCAGGCTAGAGGCCCTATTATCACGTTTCTGAGCACAAAAGAATGCTAAGATTTATTTCCTATGCTGGGTAAATACAGTCCAACCATGTGATCTGCGGGGTAACCAATGGGCAGCCGAGACGAAGGTATGGGCAAGGAAAAAAAAATACTACCATTTTAGGGGAGGATGTAAGCCACTATACCGGCCCCATCTAACGTTTTACAGTCGCACTTAAGTGTCTTTTTATTGAAATCATAAAATAAACATGTCGCTAACGAATTATTATTCCATGATGGGGCTCCAGACTGAGGAGCCGTACGGGGCACATTTCATCCCGGGAGGCTTGCAGGGTTCGACGGCCGGCTGCACGAAGCCAGCCCGGAGAGCGGAGGAGGAGGAGGAGGAGGGGACCCCCGGCTCACACATTCCGGATTTTTCGCATTTTTCCAACAAACAAGCGAGCTTAAATGGCTTTTCTCCCTGGGTGAACACCTCGACTTCTCCTTCGCCCTCCTCTCCGCAGCTGCAGTCCACCCCCGGCGCCTCCATCCCCGGCCTTTTTCACCCACACCACCTCCTGAGCCACCAACACCACCACCACCACCACCACCCATACTACGGCCCGCAGACGCAGACCCATGCCGAGCACCTCGCACCTTCCGCGGTCGCTTCCGACAGCAGGTTCGTCCGCTGCTGGGAGGGGGCGACCCCCACCTCGGATTCCTCGCTGTCACACGCCTCGTCCGGGTTTCCCGGGTGTGTCCCCGCTCAGGGTGACCTCTCCGATCCGAGCCCGAGGTACGAGGCGGTCAAACCCGAGAGTTCGCCTCCGCCTCCGCCACCGCCGCCTTCGCGCGACAGCCCTGCGGATTCCAGCTTCGCCAGCCCGACCGAGGTGGTCCTCGAGCGGCTCGGGACGGTGGAGGAGCTGGGACGGAAGCCGGAGCCCAAAAAGGAGGACGAGGAGAGAAAAACAAAGATTGACCCGGGTAAAGACAGATACAAGCTACCAACCTCAGGAATGTTGATTAGCGTTTAAGAGGTGGCGATACACAGGTGTGTGTGTGTGTGTGTGTGTGTGTGTGTGCGCGTGTTGTTGCGAGTGTGTGACAGAGAGCGAGAATGTGGCCTAAGTAAGTAAGTGTGTGTGACTTTTATAGCCCTATAAATGTCTTGTAAACGGTCAAATATAAAACTTTATTGTCCATTACAATAATGAAGGTGCTATTGCTGTTATTTAACAATTTGTCGCCAAAGAGAAAACAGGTAAAGCTTCCGCTGCGTTTCTCTCTTCAGATTTGTGCAGGAAGTAGAATGATGAGTTATTCTATTTTTCTTGCAATTCATGCACGAGCTTATTTAGTATAAACATAAATATATCCACATGTATACTTTAGACTGTATGGTGTATGAGCATGTCTATCCAAAACGACCTTAATAAATTATAGGGCCTTTACTGTTTAGCCTGCAGGCTTCATGCAGCACGCCTCAACCACAAAGAAATAGTTTTGTAATAGTAATATTTTTTACTTAAGATGCACAAAAGTATTTTCAAAAAGCTTGAATTAAAATAAACTAAAATGACAAAGGAACACGTTGGGCTAAATAAAATGTCTGGGCCAATAATAATAATAATAAAGATAATAACAATTATACATTGTATTAGATTTTTACAGTTTTTCTTTGCAAAGTTGTATTCCTGGCATTGCCTTGTAACTTTCTGTACATATAGGCTGTTGGTTTATTGTTAAAATTGATGTAAAATGAAATATGAACTTCCACTAGCTTGCCAGAAAATTAGGTTTAAAACATTTGAAATGTCCAGGTTTTAATCTAAGAGTTCTACTTGTTGGTAAATAAAAGTTTTCAGGACATGTGTGTCAAACAAAGTGAGCAAAGATGTCCTCTGTGAGGTGTGAGTGGACGGCTGCCAACCCAAAGCCCAAATACTTGTTGCTCTGTGGCTGTCTGCCCGTCTAATAGTTTTCACAGCACTGTCTGGCTGTCTTTACTTTTCTTGTTAAGTGGCCAGTAAATTATTTCAGATCAGTCAAAAGGTTCACATACCGTTCACCCACCGCAGTTTAACTGAGTTTGGCTTTTTGACCAAACAGAGATTTACACTTTATTGGGTACTCTGCTGTCTTTATTGCAGCTGTCCTCCCAAAATACATTTTCATCTTTGTTTTCAGGTTTACAGCTACATGACAAACCACAAATACATTTTTACATAATGACACGTTATGTTAAATTATTAAAATTAAGGAAAGGTAAAATTAAGGCATAAACAGCCCTGATGAAACTGTTGTAGCTTTGCTAAAAGGAGTAATATAGTTTAAAAAAAGGAAAATAATCAAACCGTCTGTATTTATGGAGCTGTGTTTGAGCAAGTGAGATTGTTGCTTTTTCGAATGAGCCAAAAGTTGCAGGCTCATAAAAGTTGTTCCTGTGAATATTTTTTTTTTTCTGATTTTTATGTCAGTCTTTGAACTCCTTACACACACACACACACACACACCTACACGCACACACACACACACACACACACACACACACAAGCAGCAGCAGTGTGCGGTTAAAAGTAAAAACATCTACGCCACCCTGTGTCTTCTTCTGCAGAAAACCCAGCAGCTAGCTGGATGTACGCCAAGTCCACCCGGAAGAAGAGGTGTCCGTACACCAAACACCAGACCCTGGAGCTGGAGAAGGAGTTCCTCTTCAACATGTACCTGACCAGGGACCGGCGCCTGGAGGTGGCGGGACTCTTAAATTTGACAGAGAGACAGGTCAAGATCTGGTTCCAGAACAGACGGATGAAGATGAAGAAGCTGATGATCAGAGAGAGGAGGGGTGTGAATGAATGATGGATTTTGTTCTCTCTCTCTCTCTCTCTCTCTCTCTCTCTCTCTCTCTCTCCAGGATATAGGTGAGGATGTGGTGAGATTATAGATGATAAAAGAAAACGCAGTGCACCAAGATGCCCCAACATCTTTTAACACCAGCTGGCACGAGCAGCTGTTACTAAGCAACGGCTTGTGAAGCCAACATGGCTGCCCTTGGAAAACTGCAGTGGGGGGGATCTGCAGTGGGGGGGATCTGCAGGGGGGGGGGGGACCAGGATGTGTTGTAACACAAAATATTCCTCAGAATACAATGTTCAAATTTACAGAAAGACCCATAAATTAAATATAAAAAACCATGGTTGATATCAAAGAGTTTGCTGTTTTTACGACACATCTGTTTTTGTTGAGGCTGTATATCTCACATGTCCCAAGAAAACGACTTGACACATACTTGACTCCACAAAAATGGTCTGTGCTTTCTGCCAAAGTACGAATATCGTTTTATGATTTAATGCTGAAACTTTTGTCCTCATAAAAGCTGATTTTCGGTGTGCCAGACGTGACTGTGCTTCATCTGCTGTGGCCTGAAATAGTGTTTATTTGGAATCAACATAAAGAAAAACACTTGTGGTAAGAGAAACCTAAAAACCTAAGTATTTTAAAATCAAGAAAAGATTCACCTTTAAATTGAAGCTGATCTGCATGTTCAGTGTTATTTTAGGACACAACGCAGGACTTCCTGTCAATGTGCTGCTGGTTCACACAACATATTACATTTTATTACACATACTTCACGTTATATTGTGAAATACATGAAAATAACATCACACGTGTGAGAACCACATGAAATCATTACATGTGAAACGTTTTGTGGAATGTAACTAAGTACATTTACTCAAGTACTGTGTACTTAAGTACAAATCAGAGGTATTGTACTCTACTTGAGTATTTACATTTTCGGCTACTTCTACATTTCAGAGGAAAGTATTGTACTTGCTACATGTATTTTAACATTTTAGTTACTTTGCTGATTTAGATGATTGAAATAAAGATAAGTAAAGTAATAAGTATTAATATATTATTATTATTACAGGTTAATATACCCAGCAGTATATAAAGTAATCAAAATGAGCTCTTCCTTTACCAGCTGTGACATTAAGGTGATGAAATATAATAAATATTGATGCTAACACTTTTACTGAAGTATGATTTTGAATGCAGGACTTCTACTTGAATCTGAGTATTTTTACTTTGTAGTATTGCAACTCTTCCTTGTGTCTTTCCAACACAGTCTCACAGCAGTTTGTGAAATAGTCACAAAATTAAATCCATCGGTTTCGTGTAGAAGAACACACGTTTTCTTTTTCCGTGTCGCTCGCCAGAACTTCTTGTTCGGGGACGACATTACGCTACAAAAGGAAAGTTAGGTTCAGGCAACAAGACCAGTTAGGTTCAGGGAACACATCAAGGTTAGGCTTAATATAAGTATGTATAGTTAAGTTCAGGCAACAAAAAACACTTAGCTAGGTTTACAAAGGCGTCGCACAATGGTCACGTGGTCACAGTCCTGTGTTTGTTTGACCCGCCCATAAGTGGTCGTTCTCAATATTTAATACTGCATCACTAGCTGCATCCAATTAATAAAAAAGGATTCTAATTGACTTTTCATTGGCATTGTCTTCGTGCTGAGCGACACGAAAAAACACTTTTGACAATTCGTGTCCATAACCTTATGGATTATTACTCGGCTTGTAATTTTAATACAGAAACAACATTTTAACAATGAAATAAACAAAAAGTACACTGCAACACCAGGAAGGAGGCCTGCACAGATAACCACTGTGTTTGCTCCGGATTGGAGCAGTTCTCTGTGTTACAACCAACCAGTCCCCCCTAAAAATAGTCACCCAGAGGGGCTGTTCAACCTTTGGTTCATCAATGAGCTTCCTTGTTTCTTTGTTTTTATAAACTGTGCATGTATATCGCCTTAATGGGGCCTATTTGTTGTTATTGTTGTTGCTGTGTTGTTGCTATATGTATATCTGTTGTTAATGTCTATGTTGCTCTACCTACACACACACACACACACACACACACACACACACACACACACACACACAGTGAGACGTTTTACACACAGAAACCACGCACAACCTCCATTTTTGAATGTACGACAACATCAAGTCAAGTTATTATAGGAATATTATGGGATATCAGTATTTTGGAAGTGGGGTTTTTTGTTTGTTTTTCACGAGGATGAGACGGACTCAATCAGAACACATTCTCTCTGGGAGAAAAGGACAAACACGACAGGCTATGTTAGCCTACAGCGGCGGTGACACGAGCCCCTCATCTGCTCTCATTTAGGCCGAGTGTGCTGCTCGCGAGGATTTGCTTCAGTGGAATAAATGTCGGATGACATCATCGTTGTTTAATGAAGCGCTTTCTCTGTTTTTATTCTTCTCCTGATGCGACGCAATGGATTTGTCATCTGGGCCACATCGGGTTTAAGGTTTTATTCATATTTACATGAATACTTTAGCTGGTAGTTGTAGATTTATCCGTGCGGTTTATTCAGGTACCTGTTCAGAATTACGTAAAAATAGGCTAACAACCTACTACCACGAAACGTAATTATAATGATAAATATTCAGTTAGATTATTATAGATGTAATACAATTACAGTTGAATTGGTAATTGCAATTTTTGTATTCTATATTTCGTGTGAAATGGACCAACATAAAATACTACAACTACTATTAATGATAATAATAACAATAGTAATCATACTACATTATATAATATATATTATAATACATATTATAATATATATTATGTTTTGTAGCCAATTGTTTGGTTAGATTATCATGATAAAATTAGGCTAAACTTGTAATGTTATTTATATTGTTGTCTCAAATGTTTATATTTTGTATAAAAACACACAAAATACTACTACCACTACTACCACTACTACCACTACTACTACTACTACATATTTGTTTGCAGCCAATCGTTTGATTATAGAATAATAGAATAAAATATAAATATAAAAGTATATATTGTATATAGTATATTGTAATGTTTTGTTTAATAAAATGTTGATATTTTTGTATGAAATATGAACCACATGAACACAACTGCACTAAAACTATGCTTGTTAAAGTAAACTTAGTCCTGTTCTCATCGTGTTATCCTCCGTTATTATGGTCTGATCGCACACGAGGAAAGCAGAGCCAGTTATCTCATGTACTCGACGTTTAATCGGATTACAGACCAATACCATTATGATTATATTATCCCAACGTCAAGGTGTTTGGCTGCTCTCAGGTATGTCGTCTGATTCCCGGTCCGCAGAGAGACATTTCAGCCTCCTTGTTTCGTCAAAGTCAGCGCAGCGCCTCGCAGCTTCCCTCCTTTATGGCGGCCATATACAGTCATCCTACTGCAGGGTCATAAACCAACAGCATGCATTTGGAGAATAAACGTGACTTTCTCCCCTCCTCACCCCTCTTCCTCACCCCCAACTCAAGACACAGAGAGAGAGAGGCACCATAAAGTCATTTAGCCCAGACAGCCATCGGGACTATATGGTTTTATTGGGACACCCTTTCCTGCCTTGGAGCCTCAACTGTCCTTCTAAATGTTAAAGTCATTGTCTGCAGATGAGACCCAGACAGCATGCAATCACATTTCTACACACCGCGAGACCCCCAAAAACACAGCACGTTTCATTATGTCTGAGAAGAGCTTCAGTCTGGATTCAGTTATTTCTTCTTCCAGCAGAACTCAGATTATTGTGTCGGTGGTCTCAAATGTAAAACCCGGATTACCGGAGAATTAATTAAATGTTTTTTGTCTTTCAACAACATAATAAACTCAATCCTCAATAACACGATTTACTACAATGAATGGACTTTTAATTAATTTTCTGTTTTCTTATTAATTAATATGAAGTCGTACAAAATGACCCCCTCGTCTCATTTTCCAAATTAAAACGCCTGCGTGAGAGTTATTACAGCTTCATAATAAGGATATGAAAGCGGAGGAAGACAAGAACGCTGGAAAATACAAATGAAGTGTGTATCTGCAAAAACAAAACATTTCTCAGTTCCTTTCCATTATTTTCCTGTTTGTGCTCCATGGAGTATCAATCAAACTGGTGTTGGTTTATTCATTGTAATGAATAATTTATCTCTTTCTGCAAATGAATCCTTCACATTTCAGTTTAAATTTAATAACAACTAAATAAGAAATAAATTAAACGCCCAAACACAGTGAAACGTGGCAAAAAAAAGGTGAATAATGACCGAAACACGCGCTTTAACAGTTATTGTGCTGCAGAAATAAAACAGGGCGATAAGTAATGTTGAAATTATTGCTCATGATGAACTGTTGTTCCCAATAAAACGTCTGCAGTAACATAACGTGAATTCACAATATAAAATAACAGAAGTGAGTCACCGGTTCAGGCTAAATGATTATTTAGAAAAAGGATTCATGCAGCATGCTTTTGTCGCACATGTGGGAGTTGTGGTAGTAACAGTAAATAAATACTGATATGAATAATCTTCTATTCTTTAAGGTGACGATACAAGCCTCGTTTCGTTTCTCTCCAAATAATGTGGAACTGTAACTGATTTAGGATGAAGACGTTTGCTCTTCATCGATCAACATATTTAAAGACTAATATAAGAAACAACCAGCATCCCAGAAAATGTCAAATTCTTTCTTCTCAAAACATGATTAGTTATGTAATAATTAGACCAAAAAACAAGTTAATTTGCAGATTGCATAAAAAGAAAAGAGAGAGCTCCTTCCCCCTGATAGTGTGGGACTTTAAATCAGCACCCAATGCAAATATCTCATCTATTGTGTTTATTTAAACTGCTACTGGGTGCTTTTGTCTGGGGTCCACGAGCCCATTCTATGAGATTTCTTTAAAAAACACTAATAACAACAGAAAACAATGTCGAAAGATAGAATAAAGCACCACGTGAGATATGACAAAAACACTAACAACC